GGGGAGGGGAGGGGAGGGGGAGAATTCAAGAAAACATATCACCCATACCTACCATCTGGATTTTATTTTCATCTCAATCTCAATTCAAACTGCAATAATCCATCGAAATTTAATGAAACTGATTTGTGAGACAATTTGAATGCTGCATGGATAGTTTGTTATTAATAATACATAAAAATTTGAAAGGCACAATTAATAGTATTAATACTAAAATTCTTTATCTTTTTTAAGGCCTTTGAAAGATATATGCCAACAGTTATAGATGAAATTACATGACTTACCTTAAAATAGTGAGACGAAGTACTGGGGGTTTAATGAAATAATAACCATGAATAGGGATTTATTGTACTTAACTCTTCCTGCCTTCTTTTCTAGCTGTTCTAATGCCCATTTTTTCCAAAATAATTGTTTTTGTTTTTGTTTTTTTTTCCGATACCGGGAATCAAACTCACGACCTTGCACTTGCCAGGCAGGCGCTGTGCCACTGAGCTAAATCCCTAGCCCTCAAAATAATTTTTTAAAAATCATGATCTTTACTGGAGACTTTGTACAGTTTAATTACAATTTCTACCACAAATACAAGTAACTCAGTTAGTGAAAATACATTCTAATGCTAGTTCAAGACTCAAATGCAGATATTCTCTGGAACATTTGCAAGTTATTGAATAGCCCTGGGCTTATGCTTATGGGGTGGGGACTCTGGGAACTGTACTCTGTGTTCCAACACTCAAGCAGATTCCCCAGGCACTCCTGAACGACCACAGCACACTGGCCCCTCTCCTTCCTGGAATGGAGTGGCTGGCTCAACAGCACGCTATATTATTCCCCTTAACTTTGGGGTGTGTTCTAAAGCAGGCAGAGCTACTCTTAACACCATCAAACAATGGATCCAGCTATAATATAACCCCAAGCGTATTTTTTTCCCCAGAGACAGGGTCTCACTTTGTACTTCAGGCTGGCCTTGAACTTCCAGCAATCCTTCTGCCTCAGCTCTCAAGTACTGGGATTATAAGCATGTGGCACCACACCCAGCCTCAAACTGCCTTATACCCACAGCACAGGAAAAGCCTAAATATAAGGCAGCTTATTAAATTAGTGTTTAAAAAAAATTGGGCAACTAAGTAAGACAGTATCCAAAATGTAATAACTTGCTTTAAAACAAGACAATCCTGGGCTGGGGATATAGCTCAGTGGCATTAAGCGCCTGCCTGGCAAACACAAGGTCGTGAGTCCTAAGACTTTGTTATTAGTTTCTTCTTTTTGTTCAATTAAAGCTATGCAGGGCCGGGCATGGTGCACGCCTCTCATCCCAGCACTCGGGAGGCTGAGGAGGCTGAGGAAGCTGAGGATTGTTGCAAGTTCAAGACAGCCTGGGCTACAAAGTGAGCTCAAGACCAGCCTGAACTGCATAGTGAGACCTTGTCTCAAAAACAGACAAAAAAAAAGAAAAAAAAGAAAAAAAAAAAAAATCTATGCAAGCTATTACTTTCCTGGCAGCCAAGATAAAATGAAAGTAAACTCCAAATGGGAAGCATTAAACATGCCTTTTGGGGGGGGGGGGAGTAACTCACATCCCTTAAAGGGATATTTTAAAAATTCACCAATTTTGCTAACACCTAATTATCTTATCACTCAGGAGCTTTTTCATTTCAGCTTTCCTGAAAATGTAATACAATAACTGAGCATGTGTACTGAATCTGCACACTTACTTTTCAAGAGGACAAAGGATCCTCAGGTGAAAGCAAAAGTCATGTCAAACTGTCATCAAATTATGCCAATGATACTTATCTAAATTACTGTATATACTAACTCACACACACAAAAAAAACCAAAAACTTTAACTTTTTGGTCACTCCTACAAATTATAAGAAAAAATTCAAATTTGCAATCCAGAAAGGAGACAGAAGAAGCGACTACAGCCCACCCTATGTATTTACAGACTACTGGCTTGGTGTTTACTAGTGTTGTTAGTCTAACTAAACATACATAGTTGTCCTCATCCCTCAAACTGTACTTGCTCTTACTAATCAATAAGCAAATAAATTACTAATAAAATCACATAGATTCGGATAAAAAAACTGAGCAAAGTACTTGAAAGGGGTCAAATCTGGAATAAAATGCTCCTCCGTATAAATTAAATCTTTTATTCCCAGACTGTCAATATATAGTTACCAAAATGCAGCTTGTCTCTGTTCTCTAGGTATATTTAGGTATATGTTTAGTTGTTTTTTTAAACTTCTCTTTAAAAAAGCTTCAAGTGGTTTAAAAAAAAAATTAGAAAAAATTGATTCTCCCCCATCCTGCATCTTGGATGTAAAAAATAACTTATTTCTTTCTTCTTAGACAAACAAAAATGCTATGAAATGAGAAACGTACATCAAGCTTTTTAAACTTTTAAGTCTCATTAAGTAGACTAGCCATATATAGTCTGATGTTCAACAACTTCCATTTTCTACTTACCAATTTATCATTTTCATTTGGCATTTCAAATACACATCTCAATTTAGAATCCATTAGTTCATCAGGTTTTGCCTCTTTCCACTAAAAGCAAACAAAACCAAACGTGAGACACGGAGGTTTCACTGAAGAGACACGTAAGACGTGGGTATGGCCCGTGGGACACTGGGAAGGTATGTGGTCAGGCCAGGGCACGCTGCGACACTATGGTGGTCACCCTGCCACTCACCCACTAACGCCACAGAAACGTTAGCCGACCATGTATGTTCTGTCAACGTCTGATGAAATCACACTTGACAGCCCACATTTTTTTTCTTGTATTTTAAAGACTGTGTTTTTCTGTTAAGAGTTAAACAAAAGCCACAGCTCAAACTGCATTCCCCAAAATAAAATCTGTTTAATTTCTACACTTACCACTGCTTCCATATCTGAAGTGTTTGGTGGAGCAAAAATTGTCTGTACCATAAACTTGTGTTTGCTCTTTTCATTTGGATCATAGTCAAAAGGCTGTAGCATTACTAAGTAAGAAGAAAGGACACATTATATTGTCGTCTGCATGTTTATCATTCCTATTATCTATCACACAAGCTTTAAAAATACCAAGATGAGTTCAAGCTACCACATACTGCATTATTTGCACTAATGTTTTACAATCAACTTTATGACTTTCAATTATTTTAAAATTGTTCACCTTTCTGATTTGCTAAGGCTTTTAACAATCCACAAATTAGCAAATGAGTACAGTACTTTAAAAGTAGGAACCTGTGGCTGCCTTCTCTAAACTCAGTTTGTGAAAATTTTCACACCTTGGCCAAGGAGACAGCTCAGTGGTACAGCACCTGCCTAGCAAGCGCAAGGTCCTGAGCTCAATTCTTAACACAAAAAATTTTTCACACCTTTGCCAACACTGAATCCTGTGTCTGTAAGAGTAAATTAAATCCAATAAACTTTATTAAAACAATTTATAAAATGCGTTTATGGGGGCAGGGGATTTAGCTCAGCGGCATAGCACTTGCCTGGCAAGCGCGAGGTCGTGAGTAAAAACAAAAAAAAAAAAAAAAAAGAATTTATGCTTCACTTTAATATTTAATGATAATTTTAATTTAGACAACTGAGGTACTTACAGGAGAAATATTTAGTGACTTAAAAACCCATTGTCATATATTATTTTAAAATAATTACCTTTTCTAAATGCGTTTTAAATGAACTGCAAAAAGTTTATTTGCTTAAATTTTATTCTAAGAAAAAAAACACAAAAGAAAATCATATAATTTCTCAGTATGGAGAATTCAGAGTCCAAATAATTTTTCTGTAAGTATTTTACAGCTTCAGTAGCCTCTAAGGGGGTTTATTAAGGTTCCCTGTGGTAATAAGTATTTATGCACATAAATCCAAGGAATAAACTAACAATTGTTAAATTTATGCATATGGTATAGAAATTACTTCCCAGGGCTGGGGATTTAGTTCAGCAGCACAGCGCCTGCCTCGCAAGCCCAAGGTCATGAGTTTGATTCCCAGTACCAGAGAAAAATCAAAAAAAGGAAAAAAAGAAGAAATTACTTCCCTAACATTTTATTCCTGAACTGTCAACACTCAAAAAAAAAGGAATTAAGCAAATGCAAGAAACATCAATTACTCAAGAAAATCTTATCTATAAGGTATATCTGAGAAATCTATCAATCACTTAACAGTTAACCCCAAGCATCACTCAGGCAGTGCATTTGTTTACGTACTGATTGTCCCATGCGTTGCTCAGGCAGGTGTCACTTCAACCAGTTGATTCTTGTATTGAATAAATGTGATAAAATTGTTTTTATATTTCCTGTTATATTATAAAGATTAACCAAAAATGCAACTTTTTGGCTATCCTGATGCACACCCATAATCCCAGCTACTCAGGAGGTAAGGTCAGAGCACAAGCCTGAGGATGAATCCGTGAGTGTTCCTATTCCCCATTTTTCTACAACACAGTGGAAGCCGTGAAGGACTGCTACAAAGACAGGTTCTCCTAGAAGCCACACAAATCCTCATACGGTCTTCCTACTTCTTAGCTGTGTCAAAAGACTGCTAAGGGATACACTCATAGGAAGAATGAGGGACTGCCAGAGAAAGAAAGAATGTTTCCTGAGGATGCTATGATACCAGCATAGATTTTACAGCACAAGTAAGTGATCCATACACGGCAGGAAATAACTACACCTTTCAACTACAGTGTAAGTAAACACATAAGGGAATAATAAAAGTAAAGTTTTTCCTGGCCATGGTGAGCCATGTCTGCAATCCCAGCACTGTGAGATGCGACACAGGGGAATCTCAAATTTGAGCCCAACCTGGGCAACTTAATAAATAAGCAACAATCTGTCTCAAAATAAATACAAATGAAAATGTTGGGTATGTGGCTTAGTACAAAGGTCAGGTTCAATCTCTAGTACCATTCAAAAAATTTTTTCAAGTATAAGACACTGAGCATTTACAGTGACAGGCATAAAGATGCATTTGCTTTGACATAGTAGAAAAAAAAAGCATTATACTTCTGTAAGCAAAAGAATTAGAACACAGACAAAATTTCTCAAGTTGCATGTAACATACAACACATCTAATCCTAAAAATAATAAAGGCACAGAATGTAATGAGCTGTAAGAATAAGGACTACATACAAAGTTTTAAATTAACAATTACTGCCTGGGATATAGCTCAGTGGCAAAAGTGCCTGCCTGGCAAGCGCAAGGTCCTAAGTTCGATTCCTGGTACCAAAAAAAACAAAAAAAGAAAAAGAATGCTGGAGTCCTCCTACATGTGTGTCTTTGGGCTGGGGAGATAGCTCAGCAGCAGGAGCGCCTGCTTGGCAAGTGCAAGGTCCTGAGTTCTATTCTCGGTACCAAAAAATAAAAAATAAATTAACAGTCACTTACAAATTAACAATACACACCTCCAACACACAAGATGAGCATAGGAATTTTCTTTAAACAGTGTGCACATGGCAAGATAATATAACAACATCTTTAAAGGCAAAGCCAGAACAAAAAGTATACTCCTACCTCGAACCACTATTAGATAAACCGAATTAAACATGGTCATCAAATGTCAAAATTCAAAACTATATAAGTTCAGAACATGATTTGTTACCTGAAACAGTCACTGTCGACCCTGGGTCAATAATTCCACTATTGGGCCTCACACAGTACCGGCGAGGTGCTGTAGTCTTCACTTTGAAACATACTTTTCTATCTGACGGATTTCTCAATTTAAGATTTGTAGTGACTACATCTGTGAAGGGGCCTGTGGGATTTAAAAACAGAAAAAATTTAACTGGAGTCACAAAAACAAAAACATAATTCAAAATTATATAAATATAGCCACAATTTTATTTATGTATTCATTCTATACACATATAAACATTATCAAATAGCCAACAGTGATAACATTTCTTTCTCCAGGTGGTAAGCTTATAAATGAGGTGTACTGGCTTTTCATTTTCATTCTGGACCATAATTCACAAAAATCTCTACAGTAAACATAGATTACTTCCACTTTTTAGAAAAGTGTTCTGGAAATTTCAATCTACGAACTCAGTCTACAACTGTTACTCTTACAGTGTGTTCTTACATTACTAAAAATATCAGAATTCTCCAACAGTCTTCAAACAGTGGCAAAAATCTCTCTACCAGAAGACATTACACCCTAGAGCAGTAGTGCTCCCATTTCTCAATTAGATTTGAGACTTATTCATTCATTCATACTGTTTGGTAGGTGTTGGTTAGACACTATAAATAGAAGTTTTTAAGCTTTTAAATTTTGGTTCTGCACCCAAACATAAAATTGGCAACCCAAAAAGCTGGTGCAGCTGTCTGAATTAAATATCCTCATTTTTATCATTTTATTAATCCTCATTAATATCCTCATTTTTTAAGAGATGTAAAGATTACTGCCATTTGGTACTTGGCTGAAGAAAAGCCTAAAGACAGAGATGTTACGCAGGTTAATTTAATTTTAAAATGAATTTATTTTTTACTTTGGAGACAAGGGATAAAATATGTCCAGATAGGAAGCAAAACCCCCACTATTACCTATTCCAAAAATAATTTATAATTATTTCAGGGGGTGGAACTGAGAGTATAACTCAATGGTAGAGCTCCTGCTTAACATGCCAAGGCCCTGGGTTTGATTCCCAGTGCTGCAAAAGACTAAAGAGTTGGAAGGCTGAAAATAAGGGATACTTACTATAAAAGGCCTTTTTTTAAAAAATAAATCTTAAACAAGAACATCTTTAAAACTTTAATATATTCATACTATGGAAGTCCAGACTAACAAACTTGTCCAACTATGCTAGACAGTTTCTATTTCGCTGAGTATGAGAAAACTGCCAAGGCAAAAACCAGAAGACACAAAAGGAGGCATTAGGAAGTAATGCAATAAGAGAAAATCCAAAGTAAATTAAAAGGCACTTGATTTAAGTCCTAAGGAGTATCATGCCTCTCCTGAACAAAACGGTTAAAAAGACCTGATGGGCTGTGGTGGAGCCCCGGAGAAGTCTGCAACAGGATTCCTGCTGCCTGTACTGACAGTTGGGGAGAGGACACTAACTGGTTGTGGGGTCCCAGTGCGATGGGAGGCTGGAGAGAAAACGCTACAAAAAATGGCTTTGGCCCCAGAGGGCTCACTTGATTTTTGACAACCCTTAGGCTGTTAACTACTTGTTAGATCCTTCTTGCGTATCTCTGTCTTCCTGAGAAAGCTCTTCTAAGATACCAACATGTATTACAGCAGTCATTGATATTTTCCTACTAATCTATCCATAACTCTGTAATGTTTGTATTGTTCCTATCCTATTTCATAAATGGATGCATGTTTATTATTATGTTTCCTACAACAACCATTGAGAATAGTTAATGATTATTCAAAAGGTCACTCATGTATAGTTCTATTTATTTTCTTTTGAAGATACCTAAGTAGAGTACAACAACTATTGATAATCTCCTACCTCTTTTGTCTGTAACTCACTATTACTTGTCTATTTGTTTTCCTGAGAAACCATCTTATAGATAACAATATGTAAAACAATAACCATTGATAATTTCCTACCACTTTGCCTGTAATTTGGTAAGCCCCCCCATTATTGTTATCCTTCTTACTCTTTAAAATAAAAATAAATAAATAAAAATAAATAAAAAGACCTAATGAAATCTACCTTAACAGATCCTCAGAAAAGAGAAGTTATATAACACGTGGAAATCATTACAAACATAATCCTTTACACAGTAATGCCACTCACGAGGTAGTTCTGTTTGGCACTAGGACAGGGTTTGGGTAAGGACGAGACACACAGATACAACAGACAGCAGATGTTCTACAACACTTTGCACATCTCCATACACTATTATGCTCCCATCCCAGTGAATCTTCAAATACATCTCCTCCTGTAGTTTGGATCTTGAATACCCTCAAAGGCCCAAATGTTTAAAGTCTTGGTCCCCAATCTGGCACTACTGGGGAGTGGTGGTAATTTAAGAGGTGTGGCCTAGTGGGAGTCCTTAAATCCTGAGGCCTGCCCTGGAAGGGGATATGAAATCCCAAGCCCTCTGGCTCTTTTCTGCTTCCGGGATATGACTGTTTTTGCTCCACCACACATAGCAACCACAATGTGCTGCCTTGCCTCAGGCTCAGAAACTGGGCCAAGAGACTGCGACTGAAACCGCTAATAGCTCCCTTTTTAAAAATCTCAGGTTATCTTATTATTGTAGCAGAATGCTGACCAATACACCTCTAAAAATTCCTACTGTTAAAAGAAAGAAAAAAAAAAAAAAACCCTTTCCAGCAATGTAACCATTCTGTAAAACAAAATTTTGTTCTTTTTTTTCAAAACTTTAAAGAGCTAAATTCACCACTATAGGAAGTTATTCCACCAACAGCCATGACACTCACGATACCTTATTCACCAATACATCTGTATTTGTATCAACCATTCACAGTTGACATATTTACATATGTAATTCTACCAATATGCACAAATATTCTTATTTTGCCTTTACATCAATGTTAAAGAAAAACTGTCAGCATTTAGTAATTCTTATCTTATTCTTCTTAAATCTGAAGTTATTCATTATAAATAGGTTCACTCTTTTTATGTCTACCATTGTGGCCATGCTCAAACATTTACACATCGACATGTCTAACTTTCTCTATATTATTAGAGCATTAAAATAAAATTTTAATTGTTTGTGGATAACTTTTATGTAAAAATTTCATTTTGAAATGGTAATTAGCCATTACAAAATACAAACTATAATAATGGAATATGGGGTCAAATATGGTTAAGGATCACTGCATTAAACCAAAAGTCTCCTCATTTACTGAATGGAATTTTAACTTTTGCAATGCTGAAGTGGTTAAGCCACTGAGAAAAACAACTAAGTCATCACTATAAAAGTCAGATTATGGAGAACTTTGCAACAGGATGAGAAGACAGTAACTAGTAGAAGGCACATGAAGGGCTTTTCTGGAATGCTGACCAGGTCTATTTCTATCCTAAACGGTGATTGCATTTTTTTGGATAATTTGTACATATTTCTTGTAGGCCAAACAATGAAAATATTTTTTAGAAAGGATGATTCTTAATGTAACCTTAAAAAAACTGAAACTCCATTGTTTTTAAAGTAATTTTAATGAGAAAGTGAACATCTGAAGCAATTTATACAGGAAACAAATATCCTTAAAAATGAGGTAAAACCTGTCATTTGCCCAAAAGGAATGCTTAGTTTATTAAACTACTATTGAAACCATGGATTTTAAAATCACCTGACAGTGAAGTACACTAGTCTGCAATCAATGCTATATACTGTCTGATACGTATTTCCTGTGTTGAAGGTGAAACGTCCTTTTTCACGATGCAATCTTTTTTTTTTGGTACCAGAAATCGAATTCAGGACCTTGATCGAGCTTGCGAGGCAGGCACCGCGCCACTGAGCCCTGACAATACAATCACATTCCACACAAAACCACACACAAGTTTCACTGATTTACACTTTTACTAAAAAAATTTACAATTAAAAAACTCTACCTTTTAATTATATAGGTTGGCCTTTTTTAAGCATATGTATTTTCTAATACTAAATACTCTTGACTAAGTATTCTGTAAGTCTCAATGCCATTAAGCCAAAATCTTATTGCGGGACCCAAATTCTCACAAACACACACAAATCTGACGTATACAAATAGGAACAAAAATGTTCTGATGTAACTTTTTGAAAAAAAACACAGAACCTGAGGTTTTACACACTCATCCTACCCTTACTAAAAAAGAAAAAGCAGAAGTCCTAATGACAAAGCCTGGCTGCTCTGCTCCAATACATAAATAATGCAGCTGTAGCAATGCAGGTAAAGACTACTTCAGTATGTTTCCACAGGCTTCAGCAAGCTAAGCATGCATATATCAGTGATTAGTTTCTCGGTTACGTAAGGGTTATACTACTGCACATGTATTAAGTTATCTTTAACTTAAAATAATGATGCATTTCCAGAGTAGCAGTAGCAATGGCAGTAGTAAAAGCCTTGGCAATAACACATTTACTGGGCACTCACCAGGCATCAGTAACTTTGCGTAAGTTGTTTTAACCCTTGTAACAAGTCCACGAAGTACTTTTATTACTCATTATTCCTGTTTCACAGATGATTCAGCTCAGAGAACCTCAATACTAGTCCAAGCTGATACAACTACAAAGCAATGGAAGTGGGAAATCAACCAGGTCTCACTCCAGGGCCTGAAATCTAATGAATTGTGTAGACTAAAGCTAGCTGTATTTATTTTGTATTTCATAACCATAGCACCTAGCTCTGTGAAGCATTAAAGCATGAAAGTGAGGTCAAATGAGCAATATTTGAAAAGATTGTTAAACATATTGTATTTCCCTTAGTCCCATAAGTCAATGCTAAACATTTCCTGAAAAAAGTACCAAACACAGAAAATATTTTAAACACTTTATAACCAAACATTTACACCACAAACTTTAAAAATGGAGTCACCTGATTTACTTTTTCTACGCCACACTGAAATCAAAGACTCGATGTGAGCACGCCCTGTGAACACTGCGTCTCTGTCTTGTTCGCTGTTGTGCCCCTGAGCCACAACGATGCTTGGCACAGTCGGTTACTGAAAAATATTACTGTACAAATATTGTTGGGCAAATAAACAGACTGCCACTTTTTGGAAAGTCATATGAGTTCCATTTCTATTCAAAAAGACCTAGTTACTAAAGTACTAAAATAATCTATAAAATTTCATT